GCGCCTGGTACACGTGAAGAGAGACTTCAACGCCGCCGCCGACTACACTTCCAAACGGGTAATCCAAGAGCAGTCATAATTAGAAGTCACAGACCTCGGGGAACGGAATTTGCTCCAGGGCCTGAACCGGATCCACGAAAAAACTGATGAAGGGCCCGAGTCGCAGGGAACAGTCGCTGGTGGAGTGTGCGTTTATAGCCACAGCCCGGAGCATACCCAGGTGTTCCGCGGAAGGCGAAGCATTCGTGACGACGCGCTCGGCGTCCGAGCAAAACAAAGTCACGGAAGAATCGCCTCCGGATTCCGAAGCTGATCACTTAGAATATGTCGACCCCGGAGCCGACGAGCTGGGAACCGAAGGTGCGGAGGTCGAGCTGACAGCCGGTCCCCCAAACCCCGACTCCCAGAGCTCCGAAGAAGATCCTGAGGACGCTCGTAGGGAACGATGGAGGAGGATCTGTTCCCACCAGGCGCAGACCCAGGACTAGCATCCCTGGTGAATTTCCTCCGGGGCGAAACAGAACAATTGTCCTTGAGGCAGACAATGCACCTGGCCAAAATAGCAGACCTGTTTGTACTGGACTCCCGGGACGCGTTGTTCTATGTGAGTCGAAACACTCCGGAACGCCCCGGGACGCTGCCGATCGTCTCCGTCTGGTGGTCCCCCAAGACCTCCAAGAGGATATTCTGCACCATTGTCACGCAGACCTCCAAGGCGCTCACCTGGGTATCATCCGGACTTATGAGAGTCTGCGCAAAGAATTCTACTGGATTGGGATGTTCAAGGACACGGAGGGATATGTCAAAGAGTGCGTGGATTGCGTCACGGCTAAGGGGTTACCGCGGAACCCAGGCTCATCACCAGGCAACTTGCTGGCTACGTGACCATTCCAAGTCGTTTCTATGGATTTCGTCATACCGCTGCCTCAGTCAGCCCGGGGGAACACAGCACTACTCTTGTTCCAGTGCGTGTTCTCGGGGTTCATCATGTGCAAAGCCATGGCTAGCACTGAAGCCCAAGATGTGGTCGAAGCCTACGAAGAATGCGTGTTCCGGAGATTCGGAGCCAGCGAAA